TTTTCATTTATCTGAAAGTTACTTAAAAATACATGAGGCAGTTCATACAAAAAATATGTGAAAATACATTTTCTGTGAATAACTTTAGAATTTCTACATTGTAAGTAGTTTAGATATTTTGGGGGCATTAAAGTACATTGCCTTAGTAAGAGGCTGAAAAAAGTCAGACACTAAAGTCCCCTTGCCGTCCGGTCTAGCCCCCGGTCCGCGATTTCTGCCGAGGGTAGGGGTGTGTAATATGAAGATTTTTGATCGAGGACGATAAAAATGTCTCCACGATCTGCTTTTGAAGAAATATCGTTGTATTGTGCTTAGACTTGTGCCGGTATTCGGTAATGCGATATATCACGGTAATGAATATGCACGATATTGTTATTGTGGGCACTTCTAAATACGGTGAATAATTATATAACAAATTATTCAGAATTTTGAATGCATTTTAAGAATACTTTTCCCATCAACTGGTCAAAATGCACAACACCGATGTATGCTGTGAAAGACTTGTGCACACTCTGATGTAAACAAGCGTGGACAAGAAGCGCATGGCGGAACATGTGAGAGACACGCTGGATGAAAGCGCACTTTCACTCTCTGACAGCAGATGGCGCTTATAGCACGCTGTTAAAATCGAAAGTTGCAACTGTGTTATTTAATGAGCTAGCATGAACTAAGACTTGTATTTTTTTAAACAAAGATGAATAACTTATGTAGCAAATGTAGCTATTGCTCATTGTGAATGTTAATGCATTAACTAAGGTTAACTAATGAGGTCTTATTGTAAAGTGATACCTATTGGTCTTTATAGTTCTTTTGCACTTTAATCTGTGTAAAACTTTTAACTTTATAAATTTTTCTGTATTGCTTTATTGTATTTAAATGTTCAGTTATTTTTGTTATAAGAAAAAAGTTATTAAACCTGTTATACTGTATTATGACAGCACTTTTTTTTTAAACTAAATTTCAATATCGTGATAATACCGTATACCGTGATAAAAGCATTATCAATTAATCGCAACATGAAAATTTGATACCGGCATATCCCTAATTGTGCTACAGCGCACATTCTATCAGTTGCAGTTCTGGTGCCCCCGAATCAATATAGGCCTACTGTAGGCTACAACGTGACATACAGTAACATCAGCGTTAACTCAGCTGTAGAGTTACTCTCACGGGACACTGCACTTATTCACAATCACAAAAGTACCTTTTTTGCATCTGCTTTAAAGCCTTATTGGTTAAACGTTTCATTCGTGTGCTGTTCTGACCCAAAGCGTGTGCACGAAAACAAAAAAGCCCGGCAAACTGTGCCTGATGATTACTGAACTAAGTTATGTTTCGTGCTAATACTGTCAAAACACACAAGGTTTATGTATAGACTCAGTAGGTTATGTCTAAAATGAACGTAAACAACTGAGAGAAATGGATGCGTGCCTGTATATTATGCGTGCAGGTCTTAAAGGGACAGCTAGCTACATGCTGCCATAGTTCACCCTAAAATTTCATTTCTGTCATTATTTATTCACTTATATTATTATTTCATATTCACATATTATTTATTCATTATTTAGTCCCAACCCTATATTAATTTATTTCTTGTGCTGAACACAAAAGAAGATATTTTGAAGAATCTGGGTAACCAAACAGTTGCTGGTCCACATTGACTTTGATAATAAAAAAAATACTATGGAAGTCACTGTGGACCAGCAACTGTTTGGTTTTCCACCTTCTTCAAAATAGCGTTTATGTTTAGCAGAAGAAGGAAACTCATTCAACTTTAAAACAACTTTTGAGTGAGTAAATGAAGGTATAAAAATTAAACATTAGCCTATTTTAATTTTGGGGGTGAATTATTCCTTTAATGTTAATAAGACACCAAACACAAAGAGAAAAATCACTCACTGCTCTTGAATGAAAAACTTTAATACATTTGCTTTAATAGGAATCAATGTATATAGTGTTTTATTTTTATATTTGTTCATTAAAATTTTTGAATGCTCCTGCTAATCACACCTATTGGAGCCTACCTGAAAATAAAACTGTTTATTTGATTTGTATATTATGTGTATTTGAAATGTGTGTCTTTGTTCTAATTTTTTCACAACCAAGCTCTTTAACCCGCTGGAAGGAACATGATGGCCGTGTTTCCCATGCGCACTGTCAGAGAGCAGCCAGGCTGTGCGGTACACAGGATGCATCTATATGGCAGTCGGAGAGATGAACTACATTTGGAGCTCAGGCACTGCAGGGAAGTTTGACCCTGACAACCAGAAGTGGACCCCTGTCAAACCCATGAGACACAAACACTTTCAAGATTATTCTCCTCACAGCAGCCTCTTTTCTATTTTTCAATGCCTGTTGACAGTTTAGTACACACCTATTGACTTTTTTGACTTTCATCCTGAAGTACACCACAGCAACTGCTGACACTTTATTGACAATAGTCTTGCCTCCTGGCTGACAGAGTAAAATGAGTTTATAGTTCTTAGTGTTTTGTTTAATCTTTTGTCATGTTGGCGGTTTGAAGATTTCACTGGCGGTGTTCACTGGCTGGCACTATAGGAGGCTCGGTTGGGAAATCAACTCTTATATCAATTGAGACTTATAACCCCGACTCAAACTCTTAGAGGTGTGAACTCTGACACATCCATCAAGTTTTCTACTCTACTCTTCCTTAGATAACGTTTCTTCTCTTTCCTCTCTTGACAGACACTTTGGATGTATGAAAACTAAACACCCAGGGGGAGGGGTTGTCTTGCTAAAAGAACACAATAAGGACTTGATCTAAATTTTTGTTTTATTTGCTAAACTCTTAGTTTGCTCTCTGAGTGAAAATGTATATTATAAATGTGTGGTAGTAGTAACATTTTTTACAGTAGTTTTTTGATTAGTGGAGCTAATATGTCAGGTTATAGATGTGACAAATGAAAATGAGAAAGCAGAAAAATAATTTAATATCAACCATGATAGAAACCATCCATCACATTATATGGGTCTCTCTGGGAAGGTTTTATTTACAGACAGACTGGCATGGAAAATGAGTGCACACTTATTGAAAGTGCCTTGTTATGGACACTTACTAATGGACAGTCCCCCTGGAGCAATCTGGAGTTGCAAGCATTGGTCAATGGCACTGTAATGAAAGCAGATCTTAGAGCTACTTCATTTCACCTCTAAGAGTATAAATATAAACCTCAGGCCTTTGGATTTCCATCCAGGATCACAATGGTACAACCACCTTAATATAGGTTTCAACATATTCCTCATGTAAGAGCTAGACAAAACCCTTGACAAAGCTTTTAAAGGGCTCATATGAAGCGATTTTCAAATTTTCCTTTCTCTTTGGAGTGTTACAAGCTCTTGGTGCATAAAGAAGATCTGTAAAGTTACAAAGACTAAAGTCTCAAATCCAAAGAGATATTCTTTATAAAAGTTAAGAGTCAACCACGCCTACCTAAAACAGCTCATTCTAACACGCCCCCACATACCTACGTCACGATGTGGGAAGATTTGCATAACACCGCCCAAATGTTCACGCAAAGAAAGAAGGCGTAACTTTTATTCTCGCTGTAGTATTGTTGCCGCGGCCATGTCATGAAGGTGCTGTGTGTTTCGTTGTGAAAGCGAAACTACTTTGTTTGGCCTTCCAAAAGAGGACGATATCGCTTAGTCATGCCTGGAGCTGAGCTGAGGAAATACTTCAACTTTGCGCTGGCTTTCACCGTGGACAAAGCGGTCGTCACATGTGGTTGCCGCAGGCATCACAATATGGTAAGGGGCGTAACATTTCCGTCACATTTGAGGAATTCGGCCAATCACAACACACTGGATAGCTGGCCAATCAGAGCACACCTCGCTTTTTCAGACCGATGAGCTTTGTAAAAATCGACGCGTTTCAGAAAGGCGGGGCATAGAGGAGAAACAATAATGTACAGTATGTGGAAAATAATGTGTTTTGTTAACCTTAAACCGCATAAACACATTTCATTACACCAAATACACCAAATAATGTTCTTTTTAGCAACATCATATGACCCCTTTAAGCATGAGACTGTGTAAAAATGTCCTTATCAGACACAATGGTTTCTATTCACAAATATGTATTTTGTTATTAATGGTCCCAGACTCTGACCCTCTTTATTTAACTGAAGTTCATTCAAAATATATGAGGCTGTTCAAAGAAATATGTAAAGCACTTTTTGTGTGAATAACATACATTTCTGAATTAAAAGTATTTTGTTGGGGAATTAAGTCAAAAATTATTGTCAGATGGTACAAACCATTAAGAACAAAAAACAAAGAGTGAATAAGTCTAAGTCAGATAATCAGTTCCTGAATAACCAATATTCAGGAAAACATTTTATGTGAGAATAGAATAGAATAGAATATGACTGTGTCAAGGCCATAAAGTTTATATATTACATATTTTTTATGTAGGTCATACAGAGTAAGAAGGCCTTGATAGACTCAAAAATCGACAACACTTTGTATGAATGAATGAATCCTTTGTGTATTTAAGGTCTATGAGAATTTCTTCTTTGAATCATCTTGAACATCCTTATTACTTTAAAATTTAAGGATGCCATAACTGGCTCTTTTTAATTGTATTACCTTATTAATTTAGCATTGAAACAGGAATATTGAATTGTCTTGATTTATTAGTATATATTTTCAGTGGATGTCAATATGACATGCTTAGTTGATGCTTGATCTATGATTATTTATTATGTCAGTGTGCTGGTAAAGAATTACTAGGTTTGTCTATGTCTGATAGAAAAAGATATGCTCGAATTCTGCGTCAATGGTTTTATGGGAAAGAGAATGAGTTCCTTGCTTTTGTATATGGCTGAAATTAAATCAGCCAATGAAATTAATTACACCTAAAAGTCAATGAACTAATCAAGGTCTTGATTTAAATGGGTTAGCAGCTCATTGTAAGAAAACACAGCATAAAATGATTGAGGTCGATGGGAATGTTTGTGGTGCATGGTTTAATTTGTCTCTTGAGTTATGTCCGTGTTGTCGAGGATTTCAGGTAGTCCAGAAGATGGCGATGTAAGCTTTGAAGGAGAGAGAAGAGCGGCTGTACGGGTGACTTAGTGGCTTTACCTAACAGATACAGAGGTGACAGCGTCTCAAACATTTCCCTGCTGCTCTATATCTCTTCTGACGCGCAGCAGTTGCCGTTTTCTTCTCGTGAATGAAGGCTTTGGGCTCACTGGATACAAAGAGACTCCAATATATGATTTGGATGAGGACAACATATTATGGTTCTTTAATAATAACCAACATCACCAGTATCTCAAGGATGCAAAGTTGAATTGCAGGCGACAAACAGAAACCGAAATGTTGAAGGTACTGAGTAGTGCGCCCAGCGGTGCTCTTCTGTAAGAGGAGGGTTTAATCAGGGTCGTTATCCGCCCCTTTAATGCAAGTGTCCATGGAGTACGGATCTACCAGGACATTACCATCGGAAGTCCTTCACGGACACTTCACAGTGGCTTTTGTAAAAAATGTGCGGCGTTTGGGTCGCCAGTAACACAGTTATTTACAATGATGGGACCGCGCAGCCAGTCTCAGGCAGGTGAGGACAACATGTCATGCCACAGATGACTAATTCGTGTTCGTGTCTAATACTTTTTACATTTATCATAATGTTTGGTGAAAATGGCTTTTCTTATGGGCATAACTATTAGTGCTGTAGATTTGCTAATGGAAATGACACAAAAACAGAATGGCTTTTTATTTATTTATTTATTTTGAAAACCAAATTTTTTTCAAATAAAAAAAATGCAAAACCAGTGTAAATATGTAGTTGTCACCTTACAATAGAGTTCAATAAATACTGATTTGAGAAATATTGAGTATTATTTTTAATATTGTTATTATTATTTGTTTTGGTTTTGTTTATATATGTGGCCACTAACTGATATACAGAACCGATTTTCATTGTTTTAATTTTAGCATTTTACATAACACAAGCAACAAAAACAACAAAAGTCAAATTGTTTTTTTTAGTGCTGTTTATTATTATTGATGATGTAATAGTAGTCGTTTTAATTATGCAATGTTGTTTTATATGCAAATTAGTTTCATTATATGCATTTTATTTTTGTTTTTGAGTTGTCTGATTTAATGAGCTATGCATTTCTTACTTGACAATAAATTGCTGTTATATAAAGAGTGAGTAATTATGCAAACAATGCATTAAAATTGTTACCTGTGAATATTGAAGAGCTCCACCAAATAGTGCCAGCTATTTCTAGACTCAATAGCAAACAACCAGTAATCAGTTTTTATCGCTATGTAAATATTGGTAACAAATACTGAACTGATTATTGGTATTACCTGATTTGACATTTAAAAATGACTTTAATATATTCATAATTGTTATATACTTTGTTCAGTTATTTTCAGGTATTTATTTATACTTTTATATTTACATATCTATTTATATTATTTTATTATCATTTGTTATTTTATTTATGAAACCAATTTTGAAAGTTTCTATATGAAGTCATTTTATTTGGTTTCCTGTTGTATAATATCTGCAAGTGCACACAGATGCATTTTCTTGTCAGTGCCATTTTTTCCCCTTAGGAATACCCATTTTTTACGTCCTCAACAGAGCCCTTTTTATTAGTGTCTGTGCACTGTATAACCCTTGAGCAAAGGCACATTTTAGTCTGAGTTTTATGCACTGTACTTCATTGTACCCCTTGGCCAACCGAATCACCCTCCACCCACTCATCAGCGATTTGCACACTAATGCAGTCACTCACTACTGTCATTACACTCATGCATTCCTAAGAGTGCTAATAGAAACCATACAGTGAACATTCTAGATGATAGTTTTCACAGTGTATAAAATGTGACAAGAATGACATAAAAGGTGAACATCAGACTGTGGATTGTAGTTCCACAAGGGTATAATTATTGGCAAGGGTACTAGTGAACTATCTGTGAAAAATGCCTTGTTATTGGATAACTGTTAGATCAAGACTGTTAAAGCTTTCCAGCTAAGTTATTCATACAGGTACAGGACAGAGGAGTAAGCCTACAGTAATTTATTCTATCTGTAACCCCGTATTAGCCTATAACGGCATGGATTAATTTTATGTGCTTACATTATTGGTCTTCTTTATGCATGTGACCAGGGCCATCCTTAGCTGACGTGGGGCCCGGTGCGAGGTAGGGAGCGGGGCCCCCCTCGGTCCATTCACGATCGCGTTCTGCGTGAGGGGGGGGTGCCCCTTGGGGCCATTCGCCGTGGGGCCCCCTCAAGCGTGGGGCCTGGTGCGACCGTACCAGTTGCACCCCCCCTAAGGACGGCCCTGCATGTGACTCTAACATTAAGCAGTAATGCTTCCTCTTTCTCTCCATTTTTTCAGAACCAAGCATGACTCCGCCACGATGCTCATCTACTGCTGCTGACAGGTAAACCAAATCTTGCAAACATGCACTGTAAAAAATTATATTTTGCAGTTGTAAATAAAAGATTATTGGAGTACATTTGAAAGAAAACTATTACAGCTTTTCTACTTTTCTATTAAATTTCACATTTAATTCATTGTTACTTGCTGTTTCTTTGTAATAGTTTATGACATTTACTAGCATTTTCTGATGGAAAAATGTTTCTACACTTAGCTGTAGTCCTGGCAATATAAATTAATAATATATATTATGTGTCTACATGCATAATACATGTTACATGATTATATTTACCATAAGATTTCTGTCTGTTTCTTCAGGTTGCCTACGGAAACTGTTCAGAGGAATAACAGCAGTAATACTGGTGTTATTCTGGACATTTCCACCCTGAAAATGGCCGATGTGGACTCTGAGGTCCCTCCTCTACCTCCACGATACCGCTTTCGAGATCTGCTGCTCGGGGATCAGTCTTTTCAGAATGATGACAGGTAACTTCATCCTACGTGTCCTCAGCCGGTCATTCTCAAGAGGTGTACTTGAATAATCCATAAAGCATTCATAAGGCCCAAATATTCACTGGCACTGCAGTCCACTTATAGGTTTTTCATTGCTTTTTAATTAAGAGCTGAATAATTAAGATAAAGACATTGCAGCACTTTAAAATGCATAACTGCCATTTATTATTACACTGTAAGAAGTGAAAACATAAAACTACCTCATCAGACCTCTACACTCTTAAAAATAAAGGTTCTTTATTGGCATCTGCGTTTCCATGAACACACATGAAACCTTTCAATTCCATAAAAGGTTCTTTATATCTTTAGATTAAAAAAAAAGATTATTTTAAGAACAGTTCACTGAAATGTTCTTTAGGGTATTTCTAAGAGCGTACAATCACATTGTACAATTGCATTTCAGAAGTTGTTTCATAATTTAGCATTTCAGTACCACCTTAGCAAGCGTACAATCAAACTATTGAACTTATCAAATCAGTGGACGGGAACTAACTGTTATATAATATCATACATAATCTGCAAAATGCCAAATTGTTTATGTACATGTGGTGTGTATGTGTGTGTATATATATATATATATATATGAGCAATATCACTGTATATCAGCATGGCTGTGATTCGGCTGTAGGAAATTACAGCTTTCTAATACAGCCATATCACACAACTACGAGTGAAATTGCATTTATACAATAGTTCGACCGCACAAATGTGTAAATAAAAAAAGATAACAACGGAGTGCCTTTAAAAACACTCTTTTCAAATTTAAATCTCAATTTGACTGTGAAAACAGCTGAGGCCAAGCCGCTGAGAAAAGCGATATCTTTGTCGTACTATCCTTTCATCTGTTAAGGGTGATTTCCGATGACAACTGCTCAGTGCATTTGTTGGCTGCATCTTACAAGGTCTTGTTGAAAGTAAAAATAACTTCCTTGTTTACAACCCTGTTTTAGTCTCTTTTCAAAGTCTTTACTGCTGACTTACTCTAATAGCAGAACAAGGTAACTAAAATCACCATCACAAACACGCACAAACACACCATATCTCAATACTAAATACTATTATTATTAATTAAATACTAATATTATTTATATAAAATATTATTTATTGAATAATAATATTAAATAAACAACAGCCATCATAAAAGTTGCTAGGCAATTCAGTCAAAGGCAGCACTCTGATGGACAGCATGACATTTATATAAGATATAGACTTTGCCCTCAGCCAAATCTATTTACTCTGGAACAAATAATGGGATAATGAGACCAAAGACTGCCTATTAAGATTTACCCAAAATGAGTTATATCTCATATTTAACCACTATAGAGATCAGAGCCAGCGGCAACTTCCAGAAGATCTGGCCAAGGTGAGACTGCTCTCGATGGTTCATGAGTGCTGAACGACCGCTGATGCCCTGAAGCTCACATCTAGAAAACCCTTGAAACAAATTTTCATCTATATGTTATCTTTATTAACAAATCGCATATATGAAGTCTAATCAAGTACATTCTCTTAAATGTAGTTTAAAACTCTTAAAACTACATTCTGTGTCACAAAAACAGTATTATTTATAAAATTATAGTGGATTTGGGCATCTGCCATGACACTCACTGTGAGAAATTCAGCAAGTGGAGTGATACAAACGGTGAAACAGTTGGAGTTATGTTATCACTAGAATATTGCATGGCTGGAAAAGGCTCTCAGCCAATCAGATCTGAAAACCAAAAAGAATGTGTGTGTGTGTAAGAATAAGATGACTTGTGTTTGTTGGGTTATGGGGAGCTGTCCTTCACTGTGGTGCTGAAGTTAAACAGAGGCCGAAATGCAGGGCTGAAGAGAACACTGAAAATGTTTCTTCTGCGTCTTGCTCAATGACTCAACACTTTGTGTTGGATTCAAGGCCGTGACATACAGTACAGTCAAGACCTTGGTATAAGAGAGCCATTGTAGCTTATTTAAATAGCTGTGAGCTGTTGTCTCTGATCATGCATGCAGGAAAACACAGAGGTGAAACTCAGGGGAACCTTTACGTTTTCAAGAAAACTTTATCATCCTTGGGCTTTGAGTGGGATTTCTGTTTCTTAGAATGTTTATTTACAAGAGTTTACACAAGAAATACATTATTTCTGAATCATTTAGCTAACAATAACAGACATCATGACTGCTTTCAGTCTGCTGTGGTTTTCTTGGTGTATTCCTTATTGCCACAGTATTGGTTTTCCCACTGGTGGGTGAAATTTGTGCTCTATTATCCCGCTGTGGCATAAGCCACAAATCATTGACCTGTTTATTTAGAATCCATCTGCTTTTGTTCTTCTTTTACTGTTCTTTTCTGTTGCAAATCTCTGCTAGCCAAAGCAGGTAGTCACATTTATAAGATTTACTGGTTTGGTTAATTTTCCTTGCAATGCTTATGGCAACTATTGCGCACTATTATTTGAGCCCTCTCTGGCAGGTTGTAAGCGGTCCATAAATTTCAGGGGAGACTGCTAACCTTCAAACTTTTCCCTTTCTAAGTTTGTCTTTTTTCAGGCCAGGCCAGGCCAGGCCAGGCCAGGCCAATTTAACAGGACACTACATTATTTATCTTCACACTAAATCTAAACTGTGACTCGAGCTCTTTTAGAAACAAAGCACACAGAAAGCAATATCCTGCTGTGTGAGTGCTGTAATAATGGGCTTATTCCAGCACTAACGACTTCTTTCATTAACATGTCCTCTGTGAAGATACACTTTGTTTTACATTGGACAAATTAGATTGTAAGGGGTAATTTTTTTAAATACTGTATTCAAATACATATGCTCTCCAAGGCTACAATTATTGAATCAAAAATATGCCTATGGTAAAAACAATAATACTGCAAATTTTAAAATACTGTTTTCTATTTGAATATATTTTGTGTAAATATATGTAATTTATCCCTGTGATGGTAAAACTGAATTATCACCATTACTCTACTTCAGTCATTACGCTAGTCTTCAGTGTCACATGATCCTTCTTATCCTTATTGATGTTTGTGGAAAGCGTTCATCAGTCGTTCATCAAGAAGCTCTGAGCGGTCAGATACTTCTGAATTATGACCAATAATAGCCATTGTCCAGGACAACACATTTTATAAAAAAATGCCACTCATTCTGGAAACCTATTTTTTTGTTCTGTCTCTCTGCAGTCTCTACAAGTAATTGAATAATTCATGCCAGTATGTTTTGATTTGGTAAGTAGCCATAATGTAAATGTAAAAAACATTTTGTGAGAATGACTGGCAGTACATTATCACTTACTTAATTAAAATTCTCCCAGACAGCTCTCTTTTCATTATTATGAAGTACTATTGTAAAAGAGACAGAAATGTAAATAGTAGGCAGGAATATGATAAATTCACACTAAAATGTATTCCACTGTAGTTCAGTTCATTAAATGCATGCTGTCTGTGCAAAAGGGCATTTTTTCATCGAAGATTACTGTGTGTTTGTGTGTGCTTGAGACAAAGGCCAATGCTTCAGCGTAGTGTAAAGTCGGGAATCTCCACATGCTGCTGTCATTTCAATTATGAAATTGTGGGAAAATGGGTTTGTTCTGAACACAGAGATGAAGGCTGTTTGTGTGTATGTGTGTGCTTGTATGTCCTGTGATTATCTCAAAGGTTACTCAGAGGTCCTTGCCTCTAACTATTGTGCTTCTCTCTTGTATGTCCTGTGATTATCTCAAAGGTTACTCAGAGGTCCTTTCCTCTAACTATTGTGCTTCTCTCTCTTTCTCTCTCTCTCTCTCTCTCTCTCATATATCACATCACTGTTCCCTCCATTTTAGTTTCTGTCCATCCCATGTTATGTGTGTATATATGCACCTATATACTGTGTGGGAGTTGAAGAGGACAGAGGACATTTTCTCATGCCAAAATGACAGTACAGAGCATCAGCAGTGTTTTGTCAGATTCATCAGACAGTCAGAGGTGACTTAGCTGCAGCCAATCACGTCAAACCGCCTTTTTGTGGTTGTGTCAGTGAAAGCTGTTGTATCCTCATCAACAGCAGCAAACATACTGCACTATTCTAGTCTAAACAGTCTCTATACAAAATATAGTTGAGTGTTTCTACAGATGCTTTTATGTCTGTACACTGTTTTCATTCAAGATGTCTTCTTTGTCTGAAGCTCGCGTCTGAAGCATGGCAAGACATCTAGAGGATGCAGTGTCTTGTTTCCTTCTCCGAGAACGTCTCGGTTATGTATGTAACCCTTGTTCCCTGAAGGAGGGAACGGAGACGTCACGTCGGTGACCGACGGATTGGAATCTCGCTTCGAGAGACCAATCTAATTAGAGTGTAACTAAACGAGCCAATGCATATTGGCATGCAATTATTGCATCCAGCTGCCGCTGATCACAGCGTGAGCATAAAAAGGCAGCCGGTGTAATGCATACCAGGTTTTTGCTGAGGAGCCGAACCAGTGACCCGGCCGCTCAGCAGTGGTACAGCAGCCGTGGCGATGGGACATGACATCTTCCTTCCCTCCTTCAGGATCCCTACCAAAGCACCATGGATGCTGCCCCTTCCAGTGTCCTGTGCGAGCCGCCTGCGCCCCTTTGTGGTGTAGGCCGGGGCTCGCAACAAGAAGACCAATCACTGTTGTCATAGCACTACCCACTCAGTGAGATTGGATAACACTGTGAAAACATACCCGTTCCACTTGGAAGAGGGACGCTGCGGAAGCCCCATCCTTTCCGAGGGTGGTTTCGGAAGCAAATACACATATCAACATCCGTTTAGGTGCATATGGAAAATTGGAGGTGATTGTAACCCTCTTGGAAATGGCAGAAGTCTGCCGGGGAAACACAGGCTCTGAGGCTATACCGTGGACCTTACACATATGGGATCCACTTAGGTCTCACATATGGAACCCAGCCTTCTACCGGTTCTCAAGGATTCATTGAGTGAAGGCCTGGTGCCGGACGTTCCGCCATGTCTGGCTGCCGAGG